CCTGTGCTCGCCGAGGCCGGGACGCGGCGCTCCGAGCGCGGGCGGGGGAGGGACGCACCTCGCACACCCGGGACCCGGGACCCAGGCGCGGTGCGCCCCCGGAGACGCCCGAGGACTCGCGCACCCCTAGTGCGGGGAGCGAGGGTTTCCCGGGGAAGGAAATCGGCGGAAGCTCAGCTTGCCCGGAGGACGCGCCGCGGCTAGGAGCGATCCTGAAGGTGGGGCGGCTAGGAGCGATCCTGAAGGTGGGGCGAGCGCACGGCGCGGCCTCCCCGGGCGGCCTCCTGCCTCCGACCCGCGTCCCGGCTCGCCCGCGGACTCAAGCATCCCGAGTGCCGGGAGAGGCGCAGAAGCACGGACGCCGCAGCTGGGGCACGAATCCGGGAGCGCTTCCCCGGTGATAAAAAGTGGGAAACCGTGGGACACCGGGAAGAGACTGACAACCAGAGGGCACGCAGTAGGATGAGAGCAACCTGGGTGGGCACATTGCCTGCGGGAAGGCCGTACCATATGGGGACCGGCGACGCTGGACTCCGGGAGGGACAGAAGTCTAATCCAGGGAAGATGAAACCAACGAGGCGTCCTGACAAATAGCCTAGTCCGTAAGACGGAACACCCTCCCAACTGATTTCATAAAGCCAGGGACAGAGGGACACCCAGACGCAGCCTCACGTACTTAATTCAGATAAAAGTGGGTGAAAGAATTAACATCTGTTGAGCTCCCACTAGTGTCAGGCACTTTAAATGCATAGGGAGAAGACTCCACAGCGGCGCTGCCAGTGTAAACCTGAGTCAGCTGAGTTTAGAGAGGCCCCTCCACTCACACGGACACGGGAGGTGTGCAACTCTGCACACCTCGGGGACTGTATTTGAACCCACAAGAGAGGGGTGATCCAGTAGGAGAGAGCCAGAGATGAGCATACTCAGGAGGACACTCAGAGAATCGCAGAGACAACGTTAATACCAGGGTGCGTGTGTTACCCACGAAAGAAGCTACGTTGAAAAACCCAGGCTTTGTGCAGGGTTGTGGGGAAAACAGCAGGGAGGAGTGCCTGTACAGGGAGAGAGATACCTTACTACCCACAGTGAAATCTGAAGGGAAAAGAGCCTCAAGTATGGCTGGTATTTCAGTGTATAGCAGCAATAAAGATGCAGAGAGATAAAAGAAATAGAAAACTGCACGTGCCAGTAGCTGCCCCTGCACAGGTGCACCTGCAGCAGAGAGACCAGCGCCAGCATGGAGCGGGAGGCCCCTATGGGGAGAGCCAGATAGGCAGGCGGAGGAAGGCAGACGGGCCGGCAGTGGAGAGAAACTCAGTCCTGCCAGATGGAGAGATAAGCGTACCTGTTCCGAGGGAAGGGCGTGGGAAGGAATGATAGTGGGAAGAAGGTAGGTCAGGAGATGGAAAGAGAAAAATACACAGGTCTGGAGAGGAAGAAGCCAGAAAGAGGCGGCCAGCCCCCAGATAGAAGTAGGCTAGGGAGCAGGGAAAGACTGGCACGCGTGGGTGGGGAGAGGAGCTCTGGGGACAGTAGGTCAGCCGCCCTCTGTAAGAAACGACAGGCACACTGCGGCTGAACAGTGCAACACTTGGTGGGGAAGAGACAGGGTGAAGAAGCCCTGTGGGGGAGATGGTAGTGCCCAGGGTGAGTAAAGTGAGATCTCACACACACACACACACACACACACACTGATCTGGGTGACCACTGGATCCCAGGAAGGGAGTGCAGATCGTTTTCCTCTGTGGCCTTCATTTCTGCCTCCCACAGTCTAATGTTTTCATGCTTGGGAAACCCCTACATTTATATACCAGTGTCTTGCAAGAGCCAAAAGATAAAAAAATTCTCTTTATCTCTCAACTCGCCACTTAGTTCTTGATTTTAGAATGTTTTTCTGTGTTAAATACTGTAATCAGTGGCTTTGTTTGCTCTGAACCGCTTGTATTGCCTGTTAATGTTGTTACTGTCTTTTTCCATCTCTGGACATGCATATTAGTGGGTCTGGTCAGTTAATACAGAGGCAGAACGGGAAATGGAGAAGACCTAGTTTCCAAGTCCTTCCACCTCTCCCAGTGTGGAGCCCCATAGATTGAGTTAGTCTCAGAATTCATTTTCTCCTGAAAAAACGAGGTAGAAGCAGTGACCTGCTGTGGCTTGGAGGGAGACCGAATAAGCTGACTTGGCATTTGCTGTTGGACATTGTCTTCTTTCTGGCTTAACTAGCTTCTGTCACTTCAATTCAGAAACATTTTTTATGGGGCTTGGAAAAGCTAGCCGGAATTGGGGTAAAAATGTCAAGGCCAGTTGGTTGAAAAGTGAGAAAAAGCTGAAAAAAAAAATGGGACCTTTTGGGTGACTGTGCCCTGTGGGTACTCACTGCAGTATCTCTGGAGTATTCACCTAAGCCCCCCACAGATGTGCCCCCACTGCCTCCCCTCCCAGCTCTCCCCAGGGAGAGAATTACAGCAGCAGTAGGCATCTGACTGAGCTTTTATTCCTCCAGTGGAAGGATATTTATTTGTCCTTTTTTGCTTTCCGTCCTTGTCAGAAATAGGGTTCATGACTTTAAATTGTAGCTGCTGTTTGGGACTATGTTGCCCTGAGCTGGGTGACTGGGAAAAGGTTTTACATGGTTAAGCTTGTTCTCTGTAGGGGGAAAAAGATGCCTTATTATCACACAGAACTGCTCGCCCATTTCTGTGCTCACGCGGGAGGGTGTTTGATGCTTGATGACAAATGGCCCCCCAGCAGTTTTGGCCTGCACAGAGTGACGGCTGTTACACCTCCTCTTTTAATGACTTTGCCAGGGCAGAAATTTCAACAGGTTTCTTTGCCAAACTAAACGTCAGAGTTCTTTTTTGTGCATATGATTTTGTCCGGTTGATTTACTCTCCTAAAGTATCCACTTGACCTAAGGCTTCAGAGAAGTGAATTTAAGAGTTTGGGAAGCTATGATTTAGGGAGAATAGAGAAGCTCTTTAAGTTCTTTAGATGTAATTGAACAAAAATACTAAATTATTAGGGTTCACAGTAACACAATCTTTGAAAATACTGAGATCTTGGTTTTCTCAAAACACAGTTCCTCCACTGTTTGAAAAGACAACCTTGATTTACCTTTATTATTTAAGCTTTCTACTTTTCGAGAAAAGATCCTGGGAGCTCCTCTACATGGGTAGAGGAACAGTGTAAGCTCAGCAGCAGGAATGATAGCTGGAGCATCTCTTAAAAGTTGTTTTCCAGCTACTTTGAATCTGGGGATAGTTTCAAATTGATTATTACTAGACCATTTTGACTAAAAAGTTATTTCCATGGTTTCCTGAAAAATTTAAATATGCTATTACAAATACCTAGTATATCAAGTTTTTTTCAGATGTAGATAGATGATTTTTTAATGAGAGAACAAGTCATTAAATAAAATTACAACTTTAATTTCATTTAAATTGGTATCTATGGGTGTGTGGTCTGCATAAACTCTACATATTTTAAATGAACGTGTGCTGCTGTAATTACATATTTCTTCCAAATGTGAAATTACATTTAAAATGAAAATACATCATTCTGTGATATATTTTGGCTAATTTTCCCCAGAAAAATAGCTGGCTTCTGACATTGGAATAATATATTTATAAGACAAAAATGTTATCAAAATATTGTTTTTAGATTTTGACATTGCCACGCCTGTCAACTTGGTTTCTGAAAAATGTTTGCTTAGGATTTCAAAGGTGGTGGCTCAACTGTTACTATGCTTACCCAACTATTACATAAAAAGTACTATATATGAATGATTATTACAGCTGCTTCTTCTCTATCCCTGAAAATCAAAAACAGATACCTTTAAATAGAATTGTGTTAGCACATTCTCTTGTCAAGTCTGTTGATTTGAAATAACTTTTCCTGCCTTGATTAGTGCCATTTAGGAAAATGTGGCTGTTTTCAAAATTTGTAAAAATGTACTTTAATATGGCACGAAGTAGTCTGTCTGTGTTGACAAATAGTACTATTTCCAATGAAAGTATGAAGTATTATTTAAGCCCCCAAAGTTACTAACATTCAGAATATCTCCCTTTAATGTGTTCCTTGTTTTTAGTTTTCTAAGTCTTTGCTTCCACAGAATATAGAATAGGCAATTCCTTCACCTTAGTCTGTCTTTCTACCGGGTGAATTTTTTAGCTTTGGATTCATTATGGTTTATGATCCGGAAAAATCTCATCCTTGGCTTCTTCTTTCCTTTTCTCTCTGCCTTCAAACAATGGTGTGGTGTTTTCAAGACTGCCTTAGAAATGCAGAAGGCTGTGTACTCCTTAAGCCACAGCATCAGCGTCCAGACCTGCAAGCATAGCGCTCCGGTCACTGCCAGTTGTATTTATTGAGTGAAACAACAAGGTTTGCTGTGGCAGGTTCCATTTGTTCCACTTCAGAAATGTAGCCCGGTTTAATTTAAATAAGTTAACCTCGCTGACTTTTAACTTAATCAAGGAAAGCCAAGTCTGTGCCCCATGATACAGTGTTTGAAAAGTTTATTCATGTGCTCAGTTT